TGGATCCACGGCCCCGGCTCCTGCAAGCTCTTCGGCTTCGTCTTCTACACCAACATCTACATCAGCATCGCCTTCCTCTGCTGCATCTCGGTGGACCGCTACCTGGCCGTCGCCCACCCGCTGAGGTTCGCGCGGCTGCGGCGCGTCAAGACGGCCGTGGCCGTGAGCTCGGTGGTCTGGGCCACGGAGCTGGGCGCCAACTCGGCGCCCCTGTTCCACGATGAGCTCTTCCGAGACCGCTACAACCACACCTTCTGCTTCGAGAAGTTCCCCATGGAGGGCTGGGTGGCCTGGATGAACCTCTACCGGGTCTTCGTGGGCTTCCTCTTCCCCTGGGCGCTCATGCTGCTGTCCTACCGGGGCATCCTGCGGGCGGTGAGGGGCAGCGTGTCCACCGAGCGCCAGGAGAAGGCCAAGATCAAGCGCCTGGCCCTCAGCCTCATCGCCATCGTGCTGGTCTGCTTCGCGCCCTACCACGTGCTCCTGCTGTCCCGCAGCGCCGTCTACCTGGGCCGCCCCTGGGACTGTGGCTTCGAGGAGCGCGTGTTCTCCGCCTACCACAGCTCGCTGGCCTTCACCAGCCTCAACTGTGTGGCCGACCCCATCCTCTACTGCCTCGTCAACGAGGGAGCCCGCAGCGATGTGGCCAAGGCCCTGCACAACTTGCTGCGCTTCCTGGCCAGTGACAAGCCCCAGGAGATGGCCAATGCCTCTCTCACCCTGGAAACCCCACTCACCTCCAAGAGGAGCAGCGTGGCCAAAGCCATGGCGGCCACCTGGGCAGCAGTTCCGCCCTCCCAGGGGGACCAGGTGCAGCTGAAGGTGCTGCTGCCCGCACAGTGAACCTGCCTGGGCAGAGCCCCATCCTCCCATCTTTTCCCAAACCCCTTCTCCCCTAGTTCTGGTGTATGCAAATTGTATGTAAATAAGGCTGTGTTAATATTCATAAAATACAGGAAAATAGGAAAAGAATGGAGTCTGTGTGTCCCTGGTCAACCATCCTCCCACTCTGTGACCCCCTAACAATTCCAGTTAACTGTCCCCAGCCCTGTGCTGTGCAGTCTGGTGAACAGCAGTGACCCTTGTCCCATGGGCTCTCAGACCCTGCCACCGGGGTCTTGGAGGCCTTCCTGGAGAAGGGGATGGGTAAATTAAGTCAAATATTTGGTTTTCAAAAGGTGAAGACAAAAAGGAGAAAATTAGGATTATTTACAGCATGGAAGTAAAAATCTGTGACTCAAGGGGAAGATGGAGAAATTTACTGACTATGTAGTCATCACCTTTGCTCTTGTGACACTTCCTGCCCCCGGGTCATATCTGGGAGACAGTGATAGAGCAATTCTGAGATTCTAGATAAAAAGCATTCTCCAAGTCAGGACTGAAGAAGAGGAATGTCAGAAACCAAGTGACAGGCAATCAGGGCAGACTGCCTGGAGGCAGTGTGAGCAGCACAGGCTTGGGCAGGAGGCTCCACAGGAGAAAGAGTACATTCATTCATTCGTTCCACAGAGATCTATACCTGGCCCTGGGCCGAGTTGGGCTAGGGACGCAGCAACAGGAAAGCCCTGGCTCTGCCTGTCCTCACTGGGCTCAGAATAAACAAGTACAAAAATGAATACAAGCCAGGCACAGCGGCATGTTTGTAGTCCTAACTACTTGGGAGGCTGGGGCAGGAGGCTCACTGGGCCCAGAAGTTGGAGAACAGCCTCGACAACACACAAATCCCCATCTCACTGGGTGTGGTGGCACACACCTGTAATCCCATCTGGGGCTGTGGCAGGAGGATTGTAAATTCAAAGCCAGCTTCAGCAAAGGCCAGGGACTACGCAACTCAGTAAGCCCTGTCTCTAAATAAAATACAAAATAGGGCTGGAGACATGGCTCAGTGTTTGAGTGCCCTGAGTTGAATCCCTAGTACCAAAAAACAAAACAAAACAAAACAACCCATTGAAAAACACCACTACTACTAATGAAAATAAAAATCAGCTGAGCGTGGTGGTGCAGGCCTACAATCCCAGCTACTCTGGGGGTGGAGGCAGGAAGATCTAAAGTCCTAGGTCAGACTGGGCAATTTAGCCGGACCGTGTCTCAAAATAACATTAAGGGGGGGGGGGGGGGGTAGGGGTGTAGCTCAGTGTAGAGGCTTGCCTCGGATGCACAAGGCTCTGGATTTGCTCTGCATACTGGGGGAAAAAAAAGTATGGAATTGCTAAGTGGAAAGGTGAAGAATCAAGCCAGTTGAAGGGATAGAGTGACTGGGGTCTGATCTAAACTGGGGGCAGAGGAGGGCTCACTGAGGAGGCTTATTAGCAAAGACCTGAAGGCTTATTAGCAAAGACCATCAGCCCTGTGGGAAGAACATTCCAGACAGAAGGAAGAGAAGCCCTGGGCTAAGAGCATCTGGATTCTAAGGGACCATAGCTATAGCAGTGTGGCTGCCGAGGGAGGCAGGGCAAAAGGAGTGGGAGATGAGACTGGAGGGGCACAGGCAGTGCATGCCGGGCCAGTAAGTCTCCGCAAGGCCTCTGTCTTTTACTCATGGGGGCCATGAGGGGCTCTCAGCAGAGAACTAGTGTGACTTAAGTCAGGATCCTGCCGGCTGCTGCATGGAGCATAGAATATGAGGTGGAGGTGAAGGCAGGAGCCAGGAGCCCAGGGAGGTGACTGCAGACTGGAGGTAGGAGACCTCAGTGCTGGCAGGGAGGGAGGGGGGTGGGCTGAACAAGGAGCAGTGGTCACCTTTAGGATTTATTTTGAAGAAGTACTTGGATGGAGGAGGTGCAGAGGCCTGTGGGGTTATGTAATATGAGCCACTCACCCATTCCGGGAAGGGTGTCCCAGAGACCTGAGTGGAAAGGGCCTCTGGGAATGATCCAAGGCCCCAGTCCAAGGCAGTCAGTGGGGAGGCTGGGCCAGGGGTCCAAGGTCTTGTGGATGGTGAGTCAATGCTGGGGCCACCCTGGACTCCCTCTCCTCCACATCTGTGCATCTGTTCCCACGCCCCAGGGTGGCCAAAGCTGCCTGCCAGGACTGATGGTGTCCCTCTTCCTCTCCTGGCCTCAGGGGTCACTAGGAATGACTGTTATTCTATAACCAGGCTGGAGAGAAGGAGGAAGCAATGGCTTTGATAGGCTTGGTCCCTCCCAAGAGATCTCTCTCCCTCCCCCCTCCCAAAGGGTATGTAAACAGGCTGCTGAGATGGAAGAGTCCCCTACACACACACCCTTGCCCCAGAAGTTCCAGAAGAGGTTCCTGGAAACCCTTTGAGGAGAAAGAGAGGAATGGAGGGGAAGGAACCTAATGAGGAAATGTGGAGGGGGCTGAGGTGGAGTGGGGACGAGCAGAGTCCAGAGGGGAAGGAGTGGGGTTTTGGTGTTGGGGGTATCATGAGGGAGGGCTTTCTACCTGTCACATCACCATGAAGCTGCTGGTATAGAGCAGTCGGGGCTGGGAACTTCTTCAACACACTTCCCTAGGAGAATCTGGTGGAAGCCTCAGTACCCTCCTTTCACCAAATGCTCATTCATTCCCATTCATTCAAGAAAATGTTTTTGAGCACCTACTATGTGCCAGAAACTGTATTAACAGCTAAGAAACAGTGGATTATATATCAAAAAGTCACAAACAAGTTTGGTTTCCAAACCCATCATGGGGGTCCTTGGGCTCCATGAGATCAAAAGTTGGTCTGGAATTCTTTCCATCCTCTGTCCTCGGTTGGCCAGTCTGTAAAATAGGAAGAGGGCTGGTCCCAAGTGGATGATGGGCTTTAAATAGGCCTCGGCTCCCTCAGTTTGGTCCAGAGGGATGCTGGCATGGGTTGTTTTTATGGAGTCCACATACTTAATTTAGGGTACCTGGGTTCACACAGTGCCTCCATTACAAATGAAGGAACGCAGGTCTCTTGGAGGCAGGAACTTGATAGCACGCTCAGAGAGTCAGAGGATGCTGGGGAAAACTGGAGGGGCCCTGACCATCCTGAATGGTTTCCTTCACCCCGTCCTTCTGCCTCCCCTGCAATCACTCAACCACCCACCAGCACTCCACCACCCAGCCATGTCTTTCAACCCCTTCCTGATCTTGTTTATATGATTTTGCTCCCTGCCGGATAAGGGAGGACAGTCTGGGACATGTCCTTAAACTCCTTCCTGAGCCATCTCCCTGGGGACCCTCACCCCCCAAAAGAGGAAGTGGGGCAGCTTGAGAAAGGGTTTTATTAGCCAAGATGCCGCCATCAACTCGCAGAGGGTGAGAAATCTTGCCATCAACTCTGCAGAGGGTGAGAAATCTTGCGCGCCACCCCCCGCCTCTCTCTGGGCCTCAGACTGTCAGTTGCCTGGGGAAGGGACAGTAGCTAGCCGCTTCTGGGTGTGGAATGCCCCTCGGGCTGGAGTCAGCGATATTAATGCTCATACCCCTAGAGCAATAAGGGCTGCTTACTGAGTGCTTTCTATGTCACTGGCACCATTCCATGCACTTAATGGGATTCACTACTGTGTTTTATATTCAAGATTCGCATAGAAGCCTCACAACAATCCAATAAGGCAAGTGCTATTGGGTCCCATTAAGTAAACAGGAACAATGATGTCCAGAAAGGTTGTCACTCCTTCATTATCACACAGCAAATAAATGCAGTTTTCCTCTCTGTATTCCCAAGGAGGGCTCTAACTTGTGCAAGACGGTGTAATTGGGGCTCATTAGACCTAATTAGGGCTAATTAAGAGCCTTCTTTGGGCGTGAAAGGTTCCTCAGTACGTGACATCACGCAAGAGCGCAGTGACATCACGCAAGAGCTCAGTGACATCACGCCACGCGGGACTCCATCCACGCTCCCGCCAGGAGCCGTTTAACGGCAACACCACAGTCGCCTCATTTCCGCCCTAATTTGCATATGCAACGAACAGACGTCGAGGCGCCAGCGTCGACGCGGTGGCGTCACGAAGCGCCCCTGCAGTTATCCCCGAGCGTGCGTACGCACGCACGCAAGCACGCACAGCCGAGAGGGCAGGGGAGGAGTGGAGAGGTCGGAGGCGCCCCGCCCAATCGGCAGGATTGCGCGTGCCCAGTGCGACCGCCAAGATGGTGGTAGGCGCGTTCCCCATGGCGAAGCTGCTATACCTGGGCATCCGGCAGGTCAGCAAGCCGCTTGCCAACCGCATTAAAGAGGCTGCCCGCCGAAGCGAGTTCTTCAAGACCTATATCTGCCTTCCGCCGGCTCAGCGTGAGTCTAACCCCTTGTCCCTCCAACCTTTCCATTCTCCGACCCCTCTCAGGTGGTTGCTCAGGGGATGGACTTCTCTCCATGACCAGTCACAGCCCGAACCGGCAAAGTCCTACAGCCAATAGGGAGGGCTCCTGGAAGAGGGACCTGGTGGTAACCCAATGGTGAGGACTGGCTTGGAGTAAGAGGTGGGAAGGGGCGTCACCGCGCGAGATTAGAATATCAGCCAATAGAGGAAGAAGCTGTGGAGACTGACGTCAAGGCCAGCCAATAGTGTGGGGAATGGGAGCAATTTGGGCGGGGCTTTCCAGGACGGCGAGGAGCTAGGGGCGGGTATAAGGGGTAACCAGTGTCGGGTCCTTTGCCTAGCCATCCTTTGGTGACTTTGCTCTCAAAGCTTCAACCCTTGCCTTAATTTCCCTTCTGCCCCGGAAGTGGGAGATACTTACATATCATTCACTTAGAATATCGGCGTGCTGTATAGTGTTACTTCGTAGAATAGACCTAATTAAAGGCGTGGTGGTGGTGGTGGGTTAAAATCTTCAGTTTGAGGATTTGACTTGAATCTGGCGAAGGGGAATTTAAATCAGAGTGGACACTCATCTGTGTATTCATTAATTCTCTGATGCACCGTCCATTCATTCAGTATACAGATCGACAGGTCTTTTGCTAGGCACTAGGAGATACATGTTAGCATCAGCCCAGAGTGGTCAGGGAGCAGGGAGCACTTGAGTTCATTGGACCCAAGGGCTAGAGGGGAGCTGCCTGAGCTGAGTTAGAAGGGTGTTTGAGCAAATGCCCAAAATATAAGCAACTTTAAAAAGATGATCTATGTGTCATAGGCCGATGGGGGCATAAAATAAGAGACTTTAATGTAAGTTACTGTGTTCGGGAACCAGCATTTCACCAAATATTTACCCATTACTTCATTTAGCTGGTATTTTATGATCATCTATTCTGTTCCAGAACTTGTGCTGACAGAGCTTGAAACAGCAGGGTCCAGGTGGACATGGTGGCACACACCTGTAATCCTAGAGTCTCTGGAGGCCAAGGCAGGAGAATCCAGTTCGAGGCCAGCCTCAGCAATTTAGCAAGGCCTTAAATAATTTAATGAGACCCTCTCTCAAAAAAAAAAAAAAAAAAAAAACCCGCAGGGTCCAAGATGGTCACAGTTACTATCTTCAAGGAACTCTGGGTCCAGTGGAGACCGACAGACCCATCCTCCAACAGTGACAACCCAGATGAGCCAAGCTGGAATGGGGGAATCTCCTTATGTACAGACCTGGCATGAGGTTCAGTGAGGGCTTCTTGGGAGAGGAAATATCTGTACTGAGACTTGAGGATTGAGGAGAGTTGCACCAGACAACACAAAGGCATGGTGGTGGTGGGTTGTAGTCCCTTGTTGAGGCCAAGGGTAGAGCGTGTGCCAAGGCCAAATGGTTAAGAGGACCCTTTTTCCTCCTATAAGGTCGAGAATTCTTTTTTTTATATAATTATTATTTTTTAATACTTTTTATTTATTTATTTATTGTTATTGGTACTGAGGATCAAACCAGGGTCTCGTATGTGCTAGGCACGTGCTCTACTGCTGAGCCAGAACCCCAGCCCAAGGTTGAGAATTCTTGATCCTTTGGTGTTTGATGGAGCCTCTGTCAGGGCTGCAGGTCTTAGAATGGAAAAAAATGTTAGGTCCCATAGTTACCAGAATGCTTTCATCTCATCTATCCCATTTGACCCTCACAACTAATTTGTCCTAATGTCAGGAAGCAGAGAGGACTTCCTCCATTGTATGAAGGAAAAGCCGAAGCCTGGTGGGGGGCCAGAAGTGAATGCTGAGCTCATACAGGAGGCTTGTACCAGAGGCAGGAGTTGGACTCTGGACTCCCACACCTCATCTGTTTCCTGCCACTGCCTTTCTTCCAAATACTATGACATGTCTTGCATTGTGGTTTAGAAAATGACTTCTGGAGTCAAACTGACATGGATTAGAATCCTGGTCCCACCCCTTCTCAGGCTGGTGCCTTTGGGCAAGTCATTGAATTCCTCTGATCCTGTTTCTTCTTCTGTATGAAGGATATTGTATAATAGCAACATTTGTTGGGCAGTTACTTTATTTCAGGCTGAGTGCTACCAAGCACTTATGGGATTAAATCCTCACAGATCATTATGTAGTACATACTAGAATCATTCTCATTTTATGTACATACTAATATATAATATATTATATATATATATATAAAATGTATACTTTTTTATGTGTATGCTGGGCATTGAACCCAGAGGTGCTTAACCACAGAGCCACATCCCAGCCCTTTTTATTTTTTATTTTGAGTCAGGGTCTTGGTAAATTGCTTAAGGCCTCACTGAGTTGCTGAGGCTAGCTCTGACCTTGTAATTGTCCTCCTCCTCCCAAGTCACTGGAATTATAGGCATATGCTATCATGCCCAGCTATATATGCTTTTATGTTATAAATAATATTGTGTTATTGTGAGAATTCATGAATAAATGTTAAGTCAGTGTTTGGCACCAAGTCAGGGCTGTTGTGTATGTTAGAGACGTAACAGAGAGGAAAAGAACTGGGTTTGATCCTCATCACCACATAAAAATAAATAAATAAAATAAAGATGTCCATCTACAACTAAAACAAATTTTTTTAATTAGTTGTTCAAAACATTACAAAGCTCTTGACATATCATATTTCATACATTTGATTCAAGTGGATTATGAACTCCCATTTTTACCCCGAATACAGATTGCAGAATCACATCGGTTATAAAACAAATTTTTAAAAAATAATATTGATAGCAATATTACTTAATATGTAGGTCTTTGGTTGTTCCCAAAGTTCCCTTTTTAACAATCGTTTATAAAAATAAATAATTAAAATTATTCTTAATTTTAATCCAGGGTCTGCTCAGGGATCATGTACTACATTTGATTATCATGCCCTTTTCATATCCTTTAATCTACAATAGTTGGGCAGTCCAGCCCGCTACTTGTCTTTGTAAATAATATTTTTATGGTACTAGTGATTGAACTTAGGGGTGCTTAATCACTGAGCTACATCCCCACCCCTTTTTATTTGAGGCAGAGTCTCGCTAAGTTGTTGCCTCAGCCTCCTAAACCACTGGGATTACAGGCATGGCATGTGCCCCCATGCCAGCTATAAATACATTTTAAGTGGTAACACTGGCAGGTCTGTTTGTTTCCATATTTGTTTGGCTTATGTAGGAGTTATGGGAGCTTCCCTTCTCTCCCTCCATGGTTTGATAATTGAGCCTCTGAAAGACCCATAGACGATTAACAGAAGGTATTGGCATAAAATTGATCTGGCACTGGGGTGCAGCTCAGTGGTAAGGCATGTCCTTAGCTTGCTCAAGGGCCTGGGTTCCATCTCCAGCACCAAAACCAAACCAAACCTATTATAATGCACTGGACATCACATGAAAAATAAGTAAATTCTTATGAAGCTGGTGAAATCGAAATCCTTTCCATAAGAGAGGGCAGGCGAGCTTGAGGGCAGTCCAGGAAGAGCAAGTGCATGTGGAAACTCAGATGAGTAGGTGATGGCCTGCCGTGAACCTCGGAGCTCCTCGCCTGGCTGCTGTACCTGGAGCATCTGCCTTCGGTCAGATGGAGGAGACTCGAGAACCCCTCCTAGCCTCTGCTGCTCCTCCTGCTCTAAGCCATCAGCGCACCAGTGTGGTGTATTTTGAGATGTTAGGTCCTGGCCGCCGTCATCCACGATGCTAAGCTGTTTATCCTCTGGCCCTTTACAGAGGCAGTTTGCTGACCCTGCTCTAGAACGTATCGATGCCCTTGTGTTTCATGACATTGATGCCTGGAGCCAGTAGTCCGTTAGTGTGCCACTGTGGAGGTTCCTAAGTGCTTCCCCTAATGGTACTCGACTGTGTGTCTTTGGCAGGAGTACCGTGGGTGATGGCATATCCTGAGGCCAGCCTGGGTGGAGAGTGGGCTGGTGTTTGTCTGTCCCGTCATTTGTGGAGGTAACTTGGATCCCTTAGTTACAGTGTTAACAGTGAGGGGAGCCCTTCCTCTTCCTCTTTGGGGGAGCGGCCAGTAGAGGGGTTGGGTGGTGGAGCTGGCAGGATGTCCTGGGGTGGTGGGAGAGGGCAGACTGCAGGGCCACTGGACAGAAAGGAGCCGGAACTCGATTTGGGTCAGGACCAGTGGAGGTGATACTGGACACTGGAGTGCCCTGGCTGATTGTAGTCACACCTTTTAAATGATGTCCTTGTCATCTTCACACTGCAGATTGCCCTTTGCTCCGATCTCTGGCCAGGGCAGTAGCAGAGTTGGAATTTCCCAGAGTCAGTGGCCGCTGTGTGTTCTGGGTCACACCCCACTCTGGACATGACCAGCACATCCAGCGCCTGCCTTTGGCTGAGGTTGCCTTGACTCCACAGGGTAGGCCTGATGGTCTTCTCCTGCTCAGGCTAGAGCCGTGGTACTGGCTGACTGAGCTAAACCAGGAAGCGCAGAAGAGGCAGAGATTTCCATCTGCATTTTCTGGGGTGCTGAGGATGGAGCCAGGGCCTCCTAGGGAAGCACTACTCTGAGCCGCACCCCAGCCCCAGATTTTACTAAACAGAGAACTCCTGGCAGAGGAGTTAAAGAGGTTGCTGGAGGCCAAGCTGGTGGTGGGGGATGTGAAGCACCCTCGTGATGTCTCCAGGGAAACTGGGTTGTCTCTGGGCGGTGAGAAACGTCCAGGTCGTTTCTACTTATTCCTCTAGAGTGCACCAGTCATTTGTCCATTTAACACACACACTAGGTAGAACAGTGGTCCCCCAAAGATGACGGTCCCTCATATCTGCCTTAGTCAACTTTTCGTCTATAATGAAATACCTGAGGCAGGCCAGGGAAGGGAGGGGAACCAACCCTCTTGGAGCAAAAGAAAGCAGGGAAAAGAGCCACGAAGGGGACTGAGCACCAGAGCCATGGATACCTGGGGGACATTTCCAGCTTCACATGGCCT